GCATGTCCGAAAAGAACATAATTTGAAATCACGCGAAAATTCAAGAAAGAGAAAAAAAAAGGAAATAGTTTGAAAATCTTTATGAATTTCATGAGTAAATTAATCAAAATTTTGAATAAATTGGAGTGAAATGGGGGATAACGTTTTTGGCCCATTTCATTCCAATTTACTCAAAATTCTAATACGTTATCCAAATTTCGTCAACGACATCGTGTTCGATGTGAAATAATCTTCAGGGAGTCTGTTACTTACTACGGCACTTCGGGAAGAAGAAAAATGATTCTTTTGTTGAAGTATGTAATTTGATATTGATGATTACTATCGGATAGAATGCAAAACGAATGTGGTCGCGTGCTATCTGCAAATCTGAAACGCATTAGCGACAAGTTAATAACGTCGATAGTGCCGAGTGCACGCAATTTTTACGACCCGCGATAAGAAACGAAGTCAAGAACGCGCACAAGGTGAAATAGTTTTCGATAACATTATTAGCTATCAGCTTTAATTAATATTACGCATATTGCGTTTTATTCGTGAATTAAAACAAAACTTTTCGTCGTACGAATAGTAAATTTACGAGTAGTAGAGAATAATACAATTTTTTTATAAAATTAAATTTTCTTATGGAATTGATGATATTTCATGAAAAAAAAACCGATAAAATTGTAAAGAAGTTCATTAACGGATATTTTATTCTCTACGGTCAGGAATGTGTACTATTCGAACATTAATATTGATTAGGCAGACGTCAAGTTAAAAATACTCATGCTAGTCACACACGATACTAAGCTAAATAAGTCACAGTCAATAAGTCTTACGGTATTAAAGAAAACAAACAAAACTTTTTTTTTAAGAATAAGACAAAGAAAAAAACAAAGAAAAAATAGGCGTACGTAAGAAGGGCCGCTTGCCCCTTCCTCCCTAAATTTGGGCAAGAAGAAACGATTAAATTATGAAAATCATTTTTATGACGAAAAATTAAATCTTATTAGCTAATGTGTGGCTTACGCGTTATTTGTAAAAAAAAAGTTCGCCGAAGATTCTCAATTTAATTTTAATATAAAGTTTTACTGAAGACATATATTATATTATAAACTCTTTTGGCCCCTCCTGACTGAAATATTGGATACATTCATGGCAAGAACTGTTGATGTCGATAAAAGGATGTAAAAAAATACGTTAAAAATACGTTGTTCTAACATCGTTTGATTTCTGTGTCCATGCACACAGTACAATTGTATTGTGTAAGAGATAATGTACAAAAACCCCTACTTAGCTTGCGAAACGAGCGAATAGTTGCTAGGCGGCGTTTCGGATCACGCAATGTTTCGCCACGCTAGCTTAGTTCTATCTCGAATGGCATCGGAAATCTTTTCTCGTGGTAAAAGATGCAAATGACTTCTTCGCCGTGAGGGGACCGTCCGGTAGAAATTTCTTCGGGGCGCTAAGGGCCTGTCCGTTTGCTCGGTAACTCAAGCGGAATAATTACTGGGCATCAGTCGAACCTTCTCCACTTTTTCATACGACTTCTTGGTAGACAGGGATGAGCGAATTTACTTGGGGGGAATCTTCTTTCACACAGGTGTCGAGGCGCAGAACGAAAGAACCGCATTATACGCGCGGTTGCGCGCAAGTCGGATTTTTCGAATCCTGCCCGCATTAATGATCCTTTTTTCCTAGTTAATCTTTTTTGCCCCCTGATCTTATCTATTGCTTCAACTTCATTTAAGACACCCAGAACCTCGCACTGAAAATATTTTGTACTCGTTAACATAACGTGATTGTGTTCTTTGAACATTTTGTTGACATTAAAGTCAACATTTTTTAGTGTTAAAATAACAATTTATCAGAGTAAGTGACCTTATATTTTAAAACGTAAATTTCAAGATAAATGTATAATTTAACATATTATAAATATTAAATTAATTGAAAAAATATGCTTCTACAATTTTTTTGCAAATTGCGTCAGTGTTATATTTTTTGTTAATTTGTTTGTAACATTCATGTTATTTACTAACATATTTATCTTGTGATAGATTACAATGTATTAAAGTATATTAAAATAAATTACACGAAAATTTGAATGGACCATTTAAGATACATGAAATATATTAAAAATGACATACATTTTGTAATTTTATAAGAGAAAGACGAGTTATCCTTGCACTAATCTGACATAATATCATTTCTTTTTTAAATTATTAAAAGAAACACTTGTCGCAAGTCATTTATGCAATGTGCCATAACCATTTTGCAATGACGGTGCTAAAACGATAGTAAATATTATCATTATTACTCCATATTGTTATCGATCGTCACATGCATTCCACTTACGCAATCGATGGCTCTGTAAGATTATCATACAGAAGTTTGTAATTGTCGCGAGGAAAAAAGAAACAATAAACGCACAGTCGTGTGACACAGACGTGTGTCAACGTATATCGCGTAGTCGGTTAAAACTGCTCGTGAAACAGTTAACAACAGGTCGATCACGTTGACATCTTTATTTTTAATCGATTCTACAAGATTACGTAATTTTTTACATATGAAAAATAATTTTCTCTCAAATATATCAAGAAAGATAAGTATCTAGTATCAGTTGACTGTAATAACGTGAACCAACATCGTGCGAATAACTTGACTCGTGAACTGAAGACGTGGTCACGTCAAAGAAGAGAAAAGGTTACGGAGAAGCATCGATTATTGGTAATTTCACAGTAAATATTTTTGCCCCCCAGTGACGAAAAATCACAGATTTTTGCCGTAAAACGAAACAATCACGTCGCGTCTTCGAGATGCTCGTACGCTTTGTCGCAGCTCGTTCGATCAGCAGCGAAGGGAAAAAGTCTCGTTGACTGATCGAGGCTGAAGTCAAGGAGCGAGTCGAACGCGAAGATCAGCGTTCCGACATGAAAAACGTCTGGATGTTCAACGTTCAAGTGCGAGCTTACCTGAGAAAAAACTTACGCGCGATTTAGTTACTCGTGTTTCCTCGACGATAATCACGATGCGGAACACCGCCTTCGAAACGGTACGAAACGGCGGTTGCCTGCGAGCCGTTAAAGAGGTCGTCGCCAGCCGTAGGAAGTGCCGTGCCCAAGGAAGGAGAATGTTTTTAAAACTACGTCTCTAAACGCGTCACTGATTCAGCTGTTACCTTTTTTTAGAATTCCTCCTGCGTGATTGCACGAATATCTGCATGTAAGGCTTCTTATTGTGGCACTTCCCGTTGTGTTATCTGTAAAAAAAAATATTCATTAGAGATATAGATATCTCTTCTGACACTTGGTTGAATTATATCGAAGATATATACATGGAAAGAACAGTTTTGTTGTGTGAAATATTTAATTAGATATAAATCTAAAAATAATTTTCTTGAATTATCAAAATAATTATCTAAGACATTTAAAATGTGATTATACTGTTACAAAAAAATTTAATAGTCTAACAACCAATATTAGTGTTATTTAATTATTTTGATCCAACAAAATTACATATTTTTTGTTATATCTGTATCTAAATTTAGATGCTGTTTTGCTTCAGCAAAATGGTAAAAAAACATTCTTTCCGTATAGTAACTAATATCAAACTTTTTTGCGCTTCAAAATCCGCAAATCTCTATGCTTAATTAAAAAGTTCATATTGTGGCAGTTATAGACGATAATTTTATGAATTATAAACAATAAAAGTAGTATTTTGCAAATTTCAAATATTCTTGACTAATTTAACTTAGAATCATGTAAGCTGTTGAAGATTCTATATTTGTGTTGATTTTTAGAGATACTTAAAAAAATGTTAATTTTCTTGTAATTATGTATATGTAACATACGTATGTTCGGATAATATTAAATTTTTTACTTGTTGTAGAAGTATATATACCTTCTGTCAAAACAAATAAATACATATTAGGTGTTGGAATTAATTCGTAGCGTTTTTTAATGAAAGAATGTTATTTATTTCACATGAGCATTAAAAAATACATTAATGAAAGTACTTTTAAAACTTATAAATACTTTGTAAAACGCTACGAATTAATTCCAACACCTAATAAAATATAAAATATATTTTCTAAAATAATTTGAAAAATGCAATTTAAGTTTCATTCGTCGAAATAGACGTATGCTTATTTTTATCGGATTTCTAAATGTGCTTGTCGTTCTACATTTAATACACGAATATACAAATGCGTAGTATATCAGCTTAATTGGCAATTTTTTATTTTGTTTTGAGTAAACGGTAGAAAGATTAAAAATGCAGAAAGATCAACTATCGCGAAACGGCGCAATTTCGCGTCTTATCACGACGAGCTGCGTTTCAATAAGATGCAATGTCAGAATAATCTTCGTGTTATGCTCAATCGATGTACGTCTATCGGATTCTACGGGCCAATATACAAGCGGCGCGATCACGTTACTCTTCCCGATTGCAAATACGATACCCATCCGGTACTCCTCGGAAAACTACAACCTTGGGCTTCAAGCGCTGATAACGTGGTGCAAACGTTGTTAATTAAAGCGCTATCATTATGGCATCACGCGAATTATCGGACGTGCATCGTCGATTAAACTCCATCTCGGCCAGATGATTCCACGAAACAAGACATTGGTCTGGAACGGAAATGCGCGCCCCAGAGTGACGCGATAATTCCCATCGGACCTCTCGAAGGTAGTCTCAATATGACCTTCTTGCTAATCCCCGTCCATCTCCCGCTCCTCCCGTCCTCCTCTCGCGATCGCAACAAGATTCGCGGAACGTCCAGAGCAAGATTTCTTCGCCGGAAAAATATCATCCATCATCATGATGAACAGTTGCTAAAATGTGTCATCGGCATCGGCCGATATAAATTTGCTTTGCAGGATGAATGACCGCGCAATAAAAAGTGCGGTTAACGGGTTCTTTCGCGCATGCGTTTGCACTGTCGTCCGCGGTCGTCCGTGCGAGGCCTAAGTGAATCTAGGCTAGTCAGAGCTGCAGCCGAGATGCAGCAATAGAATAGTCTTACCTTGGGACTAGTTGCATGCTAACAGAGAGAGAGAGAGTTTCTCCGTCTGCAACGCAGTCTCTCAGTGTTCTCTCAACTTCCGTCGGATTATTCTATAAATACCGTCAGACAAGAGAGTGTCATTTACATTTCAAGACATTTTGATATCAGCAATTGTGAGGTAAATTAGTTTCAAGTATTCATGGAAAGTAAAAAGGAGCTGCGAACCGTTATTATTTCTCTCATAGAAATATTTCTTAATTATTTAAGAATCGTTAGAATATTTCTTTAGCTTTGGGAGTCATTAGAATGTAGATTGTTTGAATTAACACGTGTTTAAAAGTTAATCCTTTTAGAATCCGAGAAGTAGGTCAAAAAGTCATGCATTCCTCTTTAGATTTCATTTCATATGAAATATGTCAAAATCTTTCATTCTGTTAACAACGTAATTTAATTATTTGGAAAAATCGTTAGAGCATTGAGTCCAGTTAAAACTCTCCGCATAAGAACGTATACATTGTAATAATAAATGACAAGATTGAGGCTAATGAGAATCAGCGCAGGAATAGATAGTGCGCATAGATATTAATTCATGTAAAATACTTTAATTTAATAGATGATGCAACTTTATTGCGAAATCTTGAACGTTTCCACTCTCTTTGGAATTTTATCAACAGCATGTTATACATAATCAACGATCAATGTTGATTAAACGATCTGTTTGAGGTGAGTTACTCACATTTTTTGAGGATTATCTTTCCACTACATATTGTTACAATTTTACAACTTTATATATCAAATTTCGCTTCAGTTCGGAATCTGACAGCCCAGGAAAAAATATTTTATATATAATTATATAAAATTATATTAGGTGTTGGAATTAATTCGTAGCGTTTTACAAGTGATGGGAAGTACTTTCATTAATGTATTTTTTAATGCTCATGTGAAATAAATAACATTCTTTCATTAAAAACGCTACGAATTAATTCCAACACCTAATATAAAAATTTAATTGTACACAATTGTATATATTTATGTACAATTATATGTAAACTTATATTATATATAATTTTATTTAATTATATATATAAAATATTTTTTCCGGAAGTGACTCATCAAAAACAGATCGTTTAACCAAAGAGAGGAGAAACATTCAAGATTTCTCAATAAAGCTACACATCATCTATCAAATTGAAGTATTTTACATGAATTAATACCTATATGAATTAATACCTATTCCCGTGCTGCCTCACATTAGCCTTAATCTTATTGTTATTTATTATTTTAAAGTTTGAGGGTCCTATTTAAATTATATTTTTCGTATACATTATATTACGTCGCACACAGAAAAACTTAAGCAGTAAGAAACAAAAGTAATCAATATTTTAGATTTGCTATTGTTTACATTTTACTACTTGCGTTTCTTTTTTTGTACCATGGCTCTACAAATCGAATTGTATCATGCTATCGATAATCGCATATCGAAAACCTTGCGAATACGCCCTGACGATTGTTCACCCTCGTCGTAGGGTATGTGCGCGCGCACAAGATCACCCCAGTCGGATTCTACACCCCCGATGAAAACGTTTATCGATCTGGTGTAAATGTACGAACTGACGACCGGTTGTGTCCGACGTTAAACCAAAAGACGAGACGCACGTGCGAAGGCGAGATAAATAAACAGTTACGAAGTGCAACAAAAACGATCTCAATTAAATACGCTCGCCGGTGTAATTACTACAGATAAAAGCGGATACCTTATCACCGTTTTGCAGACACTCTGCAAGAGGCTGAAAGAGGAAGTTATCCCGAGGAAGTGAGTAGACGAATGTACAAACGGATTAGGCTGGATACATATCTCGGCATAATAATCTGCTAGAATTTCATTCGTTTCCTTAATTAATTCTGCATACTTTCCTTTCCTGTTCTCGATTGATACTCGACCTGCTGTCAACGTAACTACAAAACCTGTCTCTGACGTAATTTAGTGGTAAGATTGGCCTTAGATTAACGCGACATGCGATGAATACGAATAAAAATGAGAAATAGAATTTGCGAGTCGCAAAGTTGCACCGGATATGTTAACCGTAGTTGTCTATCGTGCACGGAATATTTTATATCGCATTTCCTTTTTATCTATGAAATAGAACCCATATAGTACAAACGTTCAAATTACAGAGGCTTATTTTTTATTTCCATCATGAAGAAAAATACATAAGAAAATGTAAAATAAAATGATCCCCGAAAAGATAAAAATTGTATCCTCCTTTATCTCTCCCTTCTCGATTCGATAAATTTATTCTAAATATATGAATATAAATTTAACACCATGTGGTGTTTTATAATCTCCATCGTGTTGATGCAATAATATCAACACGGTGAGATTTAAAAACCCATGGTGTTTATATCAATATTAACAGTGAGAATTATATAAACACATTATATCATATTAAATCCATATTTATATTTTTTAGAAAAAAATATAGAATTAATATAGAATTGATAATATATATAGAATTGATAATTCAGTACTAATATGTGCAATTGGAAAAAACATAACATTTGCGTGTTTTGTGATGAATTCTCACGTGTCAACTAAGAATGATGAAATCAATTGTGCAATTCGATATTTGTATAGAATAGTCGAACGACTAAGTAGGTCAGAGAAAGGCATGCACCTTTGTATAAACTCGTACTACCTGTTTGATAGGTTGCAGGCATACAGGAATGTGCGAGAGAGAACAATTCTTTAGAATACAAAACTTTCGATCAAATCAAAAGAGTCGAATATATAACATTGTATACAAAAGAACAATATTGCTGCATTGGAAAAAAATCTGGTTACATTAATCGGAATTCCAGTTAAAAATATTGGACATACCAAATAAAAATTTTCTGATTGAATCTAATTATAATTTTATAGTCATTGTATAGTCAATATGTTATAATTTTAATCCTAGAGATGAATCCGAATCTTCTGATTCGTCCATTTTCAACTAGAAATTTTTCTCAATGTGATAAGAATCTCAAACATAATAAGCAATGCTGTAAAAAATTTTGACAATATTCTAACAATCATCTTGATCGCCTTATATAATTATTTGAATAATCCAACAAAGTTATTTTCAGATCTGTATATAATTAAATTTTTAGATATTTCAACAAAACCGTTCTTTCTACAAGTAATTTCTGCAAGTAATTTTCTTACGTTTTCTAAGATTTAGAAAAAGCTAAGTACGCAAATCGAATAAATAATTTCACGTTTAGTTGAAGCTGCGCAAAGTATCATTTCAAAATGAGTACTTCCAATACCGGCAGTTAAATCTATTCAACATACAGTGCTCCAGATAAATCGCCAATGTCAGTTTTAGACGACCAAATAAACGGCGCGCGCAATTTATGCCGGCGATAAATCCGCAATAATTGGATCGTCGCAAAAAGTACACGACAGCGACGGTTTCAGAAAACGAGAAAAAAATATAGATACATATATATCGTTCTCGGACGATTGCGATTTTCGAGTTAATACGGTGCGACGATATATTATGCCGAATCAGATGATTGTTGGCTCCGCATGATGCCATTCGAGTGATTTCAACAATGCGCGCTCGTTTCTCTCCATCTCTCTCTCCTTTCCTCTCACGAGTCATTTCGCACCTCGATTCGCGGAGTGCATGAGTGCCAGCACCCATTTATCTTTCCAATCCTGGTATACGTGAATATGGCCGAAATGTGAATATGGCCGAGAAAGGAAAGCACGTATCCCCGAGTGCATTAACCTGGCCGGTGCAGAGAGAAGAGAAGCTACTGTACTGCGTCATCCTGCATGTAACCTGAGGAGTTAATGCACTCGGCTGTATCACCTGCTCCACTGTACATCATAGTAATTACGCGAATAACGTGGAATTCATTCGTTGCTCACGGCGAAAGCCGACGAATCAAACCAGTTTGCGTTAACGAACGCGCGTAAAAAGCGCGGTGTTTCATTCGCGATCATTAAGAGCGTAAGGAGCACAAAGAGAAGAGAAATCTTATCTCTGGCACTGCACTGGTGTAACTTCGAAAGTCTATTCGATCCTTAACTTTACGATATGTCCCTACGAAGGTTATTAAAAACGCGTGTCCACTTAAAGTAGAATCTCTGGGATTATCTCTAACGGTATAAAAATAAATTGGGATGTTGGCGCGTAATCTTTGGTGTATTATAGATATTTTCTACAGTGCATGAAAAATTTTTGTTATTACAAATAATATACAAATAATAAAGAATAATATGTAAAAAGATAGGATTGTACATTCGAATTTTTATAAAGTTGTAGCACATAATTTCAGTTTTTAAGATACAGACTTTTAAGATATTTAAAAAATAAGTTAATGTTTAATTACGAAATATCATAAGCTGATGCAGTTTCGCAGCTTTAAAACATTCGCGATGCGAATTGTTAACTCATGATAAATTTGGTCACTCGCATTACACTGGATTAGTAATGCGTATTAACTTTGCGTCTATAATTTGAAATTTTTTTGGCTTTTATTCTAAAATTTCTTCATATTTTAATTTTTATTAAGTAAAGATTTGCACATTTAAGTTCAAAAACCTATTTTGTTATATTTTAATGTAATGGGAAAATTATTTGCACATTACTACAAAAATTCTCACATCTTGATGTATGTCCGAAGAGTTTATTATAAATTGTTCATCATAAATACGGAATATTATGAGAAGAACAAACAAAATTCAACTACGTTGTGGATTATAGCTGTTATGCGAGGGCATTGTTTTAAAATTAACTTTCTAAATTAACAATTGGATCTAAATGTAATTAAAATTATTTCAACAGCCATAGAAAGCCGCAAGTAATTAAATCATATTTCAACAACAACTCATATTTCTAGTGATAACGACGATAACGAGGACAGTTGTGATCATATGTTGATTTTAGATTTGATTTCGCATAGGTAAGGATCTTCTCCCACCTTTCTTTAAGATATTCCCAAGTAGGAAGTGGTGAGAAACTTGTGCAGGAGTTTGTTGTCACTTCTCAACTTAACTATCGCTGATGAAGAACGATGACGTGACGACGCGACAGATTTCTAAATCTGGCTGTCATTGACGAAGAATATAGTGATAGTTTTCAATAAATTTTATAGTTTCAATAAGTTTTTATTTGAAAAGATATTAATTTCTAATTAGTAATCTATGCTTAAAAAATTCGGACGAGTCCGAATAAAATGAATCAGATTTCAAATCAAAGTTTATTTTTTAATATTAACTCTTTCTCTCTTTATCATAAACTCCATCAATTGTAAAAAGATAATACCGCGGGTTACCTAACTTAATCATTAAAAAGTTTCATTTTTCTTAGTAATGGAAGAAAACATTGGCATTATCCAATACAACAACCAACGTCGTGATGTACGTAGACGTTCTTCAGACGATGGTATCAACAATCGACACCATTGTGTGCGTAGAAGATTTTCTTCAGACAGCGATGGCAACGATCAGCAAGAACGCAGGAACGTTGACATCAGTCGACTCCATCGTGTGCGTAGAAGACTTAATTTCGACGACGGTGACAACGACAATCCACAGGAACGTGAGAATATTAACAATCATTTTTTAGAAGAAAGGCGAATACAATTGGAAGAGGTGAGAAACAAATCATTTTCTTTAATAAATTAAATTCGAACGATTGTTAAAATTATTTCTCGTCACAATTACAATAATTGTGTCCCGATAAAGTAATTATAATGAAATATTGCAGAAATTAGACATCAATTGACATTTAAAAATGAAAATTTATTGATGCGTAGGCCATGAAGAAGTGGGATTTCGATTTTCGGCGCGGAAGGCCAGTGGAGAATCCTGTTCGTTATGAATGGGTACAACTTGATGAACAAGGAAATGAAATTTTAAATTTAAGATAAATTAGAATAAATAAATAAATAAATTTACGAGAAGAATGCGCGGAGAAAACAAAAAATAATGCAGAAAATTCGTTTAACAAATCGACGGATGAAAAAAAAAACAATGCGGCAAAAAAATCAAATTGTGATATTATTTGATAATAAGCAAATTTTAATTACGACGTTGTAATTTTTCAAGCGTAATAAGACGCAAATTATTAACTACGTAAATTTTTTTGCAATACGTATGAATCATTTTTTATTAATAACGAATTTATAAATTTGTTCTAAAAAGATTAGAAAATTAGGTTTTTTTTATACAAGCAAGAAGAATAGTGAGCCCAAAATTTCATAAAACATAATCAGAATGACACTACTTTATAAACTAGAACTTATAAAGTGGTGGCTCATTAATTCTTTCAAGTTAACTGACTTTTAAGTTTCTAGTCAAAGAAGACATGATGTCAAATCATATCTCCAAGCTAAGAAACCAAAGCTAAATTCTTAATTTTAATTAACTTATTAAAAGAGATATCTGAAGATATACATATACATGTATATGTATGTAAGCGAACCGAATTCTAGGATTTGATATCTAATTAATTTTATTTATACTTCTACATTTATTTTTAGTTTTACAATATGACATATATTATGTGATATTATATTCAATTAATGTCCATAAAAACAAAATGTGCAATACACGTTATTCAATTGATATTTTTAATACTTTAAAGTACATCCGTGCAGTTTAAAAGAAAGATCTGTGAAAATCTATAGAAAAATATACATATTTCTGTAAAATTATAAAATAATTGCGATATTTTATATATGTGTTTCCCTTATCTTCTCACTTCAGACTACGTCTAATGAAGAAAAGAGAATTGTTATACGCGAGCTTGGCAATGCTTAATGCATAATTATACATAAGTTATATGTGTAATCTAATTTATATCAATTTGTACTACATTAAAATGAAACATTTTACGACAAACAACTATATCCTACAGCATTTATCACAAAATGTCTATAAATCGAATATACTGAAAAAAATTTATCAAAACTTAATACATATTTTTTGAATAGTACTAAGCAGTAATTTACGTATAGTAAATAAATATTTGTTTAATAAAAAAAATGATAATTAAATCAAATTATTGGAATTCTTGTATCAAATAAATATATGTTTAGTAAATATTTACTTAAAATTATTCAAATAAATACTTATTAAAATTTTGTATTTTTTTTTAGTGTAAAGAAGAAAAGTTGACAAAAATGGTTAATAGAATAAATACTTTTTTTCAATATTTAAAACGTAGTTCGCAAAAAAAAACTCTTTATCGATCAGAAATACATCTTATAATTGCGAATTATCTTTAATTATTGCAAAAATGAAAAGTACGAGACAGTATCTTCAATATTGAAATAAAAATTACAAACAGATTAGACAAGTAAAAGCACGGTGCATATAAATTATACAAATATATTCTAATTATACAAGTATTATAAATAAGTTTGTAATTAAAATATATTACGTTTGTAAAATTTATGTGCACCGCACCGCATTCTTATTTGCCTAATCGATTTTTATAATTATTGACTTTATTTCCTTCCCGGAATACTCATTGTGACAGCTGATACCACGACTATCACGATTTCGTCGAAATGATCCGTGAGTACTTTGCCGTGAGAAGACGCGAGAATCCGCGTTGCACCTGGCAACCCGCGTTTCTTTAAAGATCGTTTTTTCTTCGCGCTGCTATGGAAGCTGGCCACGATGGTACCGGCCAGAAATTGCACTTCCGTTCCGCGAATTCCCACGGAAGTGGGCACAATCGCGATGGCGACAAAAGATATTCTGCCGCACAACCGTATACCGCACACATTATTCTGACCGAGCATTGAAAATCCTTTCGATAAAGAACCTTCCGCGAACGGATTACAATCACAGATGTTCAGAAAGAAAAATTTTCGAATATGTGCAATATTTCTATTACGAGGATTTCCATGCAGTTATAAAAATCATAACAAAAATTTCCGCAAACAGTGATCAAAGTTGACTGAAATTCAACTCTACTCGCGTAAGAGGTTTCTGACTTCTTAACATTGTGTCTCAAATTTCATTGTTCTCTTGGATGATTTACAAAATAAATAAATATTAGTGTGATATTCTACACATTTTTTCGATAAATATAGATAAAGATAAATGCAAAAAAAATTTTTTAATTGTAAAACAATTTGCGCTAAATGATGTCTATAAATAGTATAACAATGTGTATAACAAAACTCATAAAGTAATGTGTGTAATTATTGTAATTAATATTCAAACATTTAGCAAATTCATGAGGTTGAACATTACACCTCACGTAAGTAATGAAGGGTTAACCGATTCTTAAATAGCTTGAACGTTCTGATCCGACGTATGTAAACTGACTAATTTATCACTGCTTGAAACATTCATCTTACCAGATACCGACATGTCTTGGAGGAAAGTAGGCTTCTTACATCTGAGGAACAGTGCATCCGTTTTCAACCTCGATCTCGATCCACCACCTTGAGCTCAATAAAAGTATGATTTATCGCAGCTGCAGCTTAATCTGTCCCCGTTAGTATGCGATGAGATAACACGGCGGCGGCCTCAAATGAATTGTAAGAGCACGGTTCTGATAGTGAAATGATGAAACAGGTGACTCTTTCGGTGGTAAACACGCGATGCAGATGCGATAAATCTATGCGCCTTCCGGTCGTGCGCCTTGCCTGCGAATAAACATCAGCTTCCTTTGGAAACAATCTGGCTGACTCACAAATACATATACGCAATATCCAGGCATCGTTCATGAGGCGAGAAATGTTTGTTTTTTTAATCGTCAGTAATCGTGTAGTAACAACGCGTATCTATTCATTTAAGGCTGCATGAATTTGTTGAAGATTAATGTACAATAAGGATAAATTATGATAAATAATATTTCAACAATTGTATTCGAAACTATTAAACATAAAAAATAAAAACGTAAGAAAGTTAGTTACTCCAGTTAATTATTGCATTCCGCATAATATAATTAGAATAACATATTCAGAGAAAAATGGCACACAGTATGGTTTTACAGATAGAATTATTTATACACAGTTGAACAAACTATTTTATAATTATAATAATTGTGAAATAATTTATTCAATTATATACATAATTCTAGATATAAAACTTGTATAAGTGTGACCTTTATAGTTTCTATCATTATGTCTTTCTCTAAGTACATAAATCTCTTCCTCGATCTTTTCGATGATTTATTATTATAAATTTATTGAGGAAACCTGTTAACGTTATCTGGCAACAAATATCGCAGGAAGTATAAGAGTTTTCGCTTTATTGTAGGTTATAAAACGCAACCTGTGCAACCAGACACCTCGCTGAAATGCACTCCTGCGGTGGACAATGAATAAGAGACGGTGGTCTCTCTGCAAAAACGCAGAAAGAATTGTTTTACGTGAACCCGTTCGTCCGTCTCCCCTCATTGAAATGCATCCGGTGTCACCCCTCACCACTTCCTGGATGCTGCGTGGGATTTTGTTTCCCCAGAGTAGCGTGCTGCACCGACGCGGATTTCCTCCTGCACGTCGTGGCGTCTCTCTTATTTAGAATTTTAAATAATTTAATTAATCCTACATTATTCACGTGGTTTTGTAAATTTGTTTTAACGCAATTACTCCCATAAGTTTCTGAAAAACAGATTATTATAAACATAATTTTTATATGTATGCAGTTTATTTAAAGTATAAATATTAACATATTTGTAAAAATGATTCAGATACATCTTTAAATAAAAATCAATGCAAAAAATGTTTCTAAATTGTAAAACAGACATAATAATATGTATACAAATCGTACTTGTACATTTAACAAATATATAAGACCGGGATGTCCTGAACCCCATTACGTAAGTAATGAAGAGTTAAAAGATAATCAATAATACATACAAAAAAAAGAACAATCAATAATCGGTAATTCTTTAAAATAACCCCCCCCCCCTCCCCCACCTCAAATTTTAATAAAAATACACTTATTCGACGCGTTTTTACTCAACGAAAGAATCTGGCAAAAAAACGCGGCAGTCGATCTCGTGAATCGAGTTATTAAGCGTTAAAGTTGGAGACTCTAGAGATTAAGATATCATCCCGACTCGATACAGCTCTGTATATATGTTCTGCATTAATTACACAAATTCACTGCTTTAAAAACACAAATTCACTGCTTTAAAAACACAAATTCACTGCTAATGCAAAGAATGCGTGTACTTAAAGCAATTTGTATTATTAAAACAGCGAATATGTTTTCAAAGCAGTGAATTTATGTAATTAATGCAGAACGTATACATAGCTATATAGCGCTATATTGAGTCGAGATGTCAGATATCTTAATCTCTAAAGTCTCCAACTTTTAACGCTTAATAACTCGATTCACGAGGCCGATCACCGCGTTTTTTTTTTTTTTGCCAGATTCTTCCGTTTTAAGTGAAAACATCGAATAAGTGTCTTTTTATTAAGATTCGAGGTAGGAAGGGGGGAGGGGATATTTTAAATAATTATCCGTACAACAATCGTATAACAGAAATAATTTTACTGTTTTTTTTTATCCTATATAAAACTATTATATTATTTTGCGTATTTATAGAAATTCTTGGAAACGATGCACATGATGATTTACTTTTACTACATCTAGTCGTTAATCGAGCTGCGACGTGGGAGAAAGATAGGCATAGTCCTCGACTCACGTTTGAATATTCGAAATGTTCGCGCCACGTTATGGCGGCGTAGCGTTAATGCGACCGAGCCTCGCACACACGCACCTTCCGTACACGAGCAAGATTGAACGCCGCGTGGCAAACTCGCTCTCCAATTGGACTCCGGGATCGTTTATCTACACTTCGCTCGTCGTGAGTTGCGCCGCCGAGCGTCGATGAGCGCGCCGAGCTGGTTTCCCGTAGGTGTCCCCTCGCGTGCCGCGCGCGCGAGACGAGCACAACGGAGTAAATTGACAATTATCAATGAAAAGTCTCGATTCGTCCCGTTGATTTTATGTCATCGCACTCAGCACTGTGACGTGCGCACGATCATCACGGAGCGCTGTAGAATCGCACATAGAATCAAATGGCACGTCGCGTTGAAAGATTCAAAGACGTCAGAGAACCTTTGTGCGACATCTTATGAATTAAAACTTTCCAATTTCCTCCCTTAAATCGATTTCTGCGATTCCGACTACTCTGGGAAATTGTTCAATTTCTACTATCGAGAGGATCGGGCTCTAAAAAGTTTAAATCATCAAGCTACATTTTGGAGCGTAGTCAGTCTAACGTAAATTAAACGAATCGAGACTGACTTTAACAAGAAATATATTAAAAATAGGTAATTATTTAATATTATGTAAAATGATGTATCAAACTATTACGTAAATAATATATCGAACTAAAAACTTTCTTTAGGTAGATAATGAATGAGAATTTTTCTTTCACAATAAAAATGTTTCTATTAAAACCGATTCAAATTTTTGTATTAAATTTGTAACATATCTGAGTGTTAATTCAACATAATATAATCACGTTATTTAAATATTTACAGTTAAATTGATTTCTGAGGGTTAAAATAATACAGCTAAGTGAATATAATATTTAATATTTTTGAAAGTGTAGTTTTAAGACGTAAATTCCAAGATAAATAAAAGGTGAATGTACATGTTAATTTTACCAAAGAAATATGTTTCCACGATTTATTCCGAATTGTGTGTCAAAGTATTACATTTTGTGTAAACTTTTGTATAATATTTGTATTACTATCTAACAGATTTATCTCGCGTTAAATTAACATAAAAATTTGGGTGAACCGTTTGAGACATCGTCGACTCGAATCAGAGGGATTTAACAAAATATGATCTCATTTCTTTACAGTAGTAGCTCAACGTAGTAACCTTCGGACTGCGCGTGGCGAGTCTATCATGCTGTATTAAATGTCGACGATAATCCGAGTGGTATGCAAATAAGTTCATCGTGCGTAACGTGTCGCGTCGTGCAAACATGAAAAACCACCGAATATATGCACACGATAAGATTGTGTTGTGTTGTTTTGAAGACTAGACTTATTTATTTCTCGTTTCCCACATCATGTCCCTCTCGTTCGAAGAGAGACGCGCCACTCTCTTTTCGTCACTGCTATCCGGGAGCACGAGTGCGTGAAGGACAATTAAAACGACGAATTAAGGTCACAATTAAATTAATTTGACACGTCCGACGACATTTTCGATCCCGATCTTGTACGTGGTCTCATTAATCACATCATGAAATGAGAAGAATGAAAGGAGCAAGAGACATAATATCTCTATTGTAAAATATTGAATAATCGAGAAATTAATCTTAAAGTAGATAGACGATTTAAAAATACGCAAGTAGGTAGTTGGGTTTTCAGACCGTCCCAACAAAATTCTACTTTTATACTTATACTTTTTACTTATATTATGTTGGAATTAAATTTATTAGTTATACATCACTTTTATGAGAAATAAAGAAATATTTATTCTTTTAAAAAAAAAAAAAGATTTTAAAAAAACTATACTTGCTACTGACTTAAATAAGATAATTCCTCGAAGACAAATTTCCAATTTTGTTAGATAGAAAACCGTTATGGAAGTTGGACAGTTTTTCGTTACTGTTCTTTTAACATCATTTCTTCAAGTAATCCTATATTATGAAATATTAAAGTAACGGAAACAAAATATCATTTTTGAAAGAAAGTCATCGTGAGAACTAGACAATTTTCCAGTTCAGAGTTCTCATAATATCGTCCCCTCAAGTAATCCTATTAAGAATCCAACCTAACGAGTGAACTTTTAAAATTTCGTCCCTCCCCGAAATTTGAAAGCTGGAATATTGGAGCACGACCGCAGCGCAGAGAGATCGCGATTGGCATTCCGCTCGGCCGTGTAAGCCGTGTAAGCCGTGTAAGCCGTTCTCCCATGGTCCCTATGAGTAGGGATGAAGCGTCGAGCGTTCTCCCGATAACTGTACACTGTACACTGTACGATCTTTCCGCACACGTTTCGCCCAAGTCCGACTCTGACCGCGTACACTCGCAGCAACTCGCAGTCAGGTCGAGGGGACTATACATCGCGAATGGCGGTTATTTCGTTCCTCCGCTCGCCGCGTGATTGGCCTGGCGGCGGTGGAGGTTGGCGAAGGTGGCGGGGAAGAGGAGGAAGGGGCCGAGCCGAGTCGTGACGGAGAGTGCCGAATCGCGCGGGAGGTTCACTTGCTCGCGATGAAAGAAGCACGCTTCAGTCGCTAGAGAGCGCTTTTCATGACAACTACGTGTCTTTGCGCAACTCCGTAATATCGCGCACGTATCTGTACCGTCGGTGTATTCGACGTCACGTAACTGCGCAATCGTATCTCTCGTATCCACACACGTTCTTCCAGAGCCAGTCAGTCAGCCAACCAGCCAGCCAGCCAAGCTAACCCCCCCGGGTGGGCCACGCGCGCGTGTGCCTTGACAGTGGCGTTTGTTTGGCGGGAAAGCGAGTGAGGCGTGTGATTCTTCGTGCTTATTTACGCGGTGTCAAAGGCGACTAGGCGACGCACTCGGTGAGTGACTCCCCCACCGCGAATCGACATATTGCTTGCGGGCCGTGTGCAATATCGCTTTTTCTATGGAATTCCTTCACCCCGAGACCACGGACTGCGTTATCGCGTCTCGGCGTTTGTGCGTGGCAGTGTCTCGTCGTGCGTGAGTGCGAGCAGCGCGAGACGTGAAAGAGAAACGAAGGAGAAAGAAGGGAGAAGAGACAGAGAGAGAGAGAGAGAGAGAGATCGACCGCGTCACGGACAATCGCCACACGGACCACGAAATTCGCGCGGGATACGTCGCAACACGCTCTCTCGCCGTCGCTCGGATACTCACGCGCAAGTGCGGGGCCGTGCGACGTTGCCGGATCGCATTCTGGAGGCTACGGCTACGCCGAAAGGAGGAATCGTTTATGCGTCTCGAGTCTCGAGTCTCGAGCCTCGAGGTCGAGGAGAGTGAATTTGAGCGAATCTTCGCGGGTATCGATAGTGTTTGTATCGTGCACTTTTGACTGTTGTTGGCGCGAAGGAGCTGCTCCACGGCGGCCTTGTGTTGGAATCGCGCGCGCGCGCGGATAGCGAGGCGGAGTTTGTTTTCGCCGCCGCGCTATCTCTGTCTGGCACGTAGTAACCGTGCTTACCCCCTCTCTCCCCTGTGTGTTGCCAAGCGCGGCTGCTGTTCGTTGTGCACGCTGGTGCACGCGTCGTCTTATGAGCCACGACCATCTCCTGGACAGGGATTGAGCCGAGTATCGTCGTTATCATCATCATCGTCGTCATCATTGTTGTCGTCGAGGTACGATCACGTCGAATCACCGAAGCGGTGCCCTGGTCAACGTACGTCGACGACGGCGGCGGCGGCGGCAGCGCGGCCATTATTCGAAATTCGGTGGGTCGCGCCACCGATCGCGGCGTTGCCAGCGTTCCTGTTCTCCGCGGTACGTAGCCGCGATTATTTCAACAACGTTCCCCACGACGACGGTGGAGGCGGAGGCGGAGGTGGAGGCAGCGGGGACGCGGACACGGTTCCTGGAAGGAGTCATCGTCATCCCTGCGTCACGGCCAATGCTAGAAGAAGCGCGAGCTCTTATCTCGTAAGCGCGTGTCACACTTCTCTGTTCTCTCCCATCGCAGGCGACAGGGAAGTGCAGTGGAAGAGAGTGAGAAGAGAGAAAGCAAGGACGAAGAAAGAATAGAGATTAAGCAGCGTGCGTGCGCGTTGTGTTCGCGTTCATCTCGAATCCTGATTTTTCGCGCTCAAACACGCTTTTGTGCCACTCTTGTCTAGCGCCGCGAGAGCGTAGTGGAGCGTAGTGGCGGCGATAGAGCGCGACGAAATATGAGCGCACGAGTGCTGAACCCAACGGCGATGATGACGGAAATAAGCAGGAACCTGAGCGGCGGAGGTGGTGGCGGTGGCGGTGGCGGACGAGCGGCGCCGAGCAGGGCCGCGCTCGCCCGCGTGCGACGCGATCTCTTCGGCCCGGTGGACCACGCGGCGGCTCAGGCGCTCGCCAAGCGCGAATTGCGGGCTCAGTCGCAGCTCGATGCCAATCGATGGGGATTTAACTTCCAAAAGGGTGCACCTCTCAAATCGAATTCGCGTTACGAGTGGGAACCGCTCACGGAGCACGACGTCGTGCCTGAGCCTTACGCCCTGCGCGGTATGCCCTTCCTCAGGAAACACGCGCCTGGGACACCGCGCAAATTGCGCTTCGACGACGCTTTAACCACCGTATCGTCCTCGACGTCCATGACAACCTCAGCATCGTCGATGACGACGACATCGTCAACTGCGGCGACCTCGTTGACAGCGATCATGACCACGGTGACGAGCACGAGGATCATGGAGCAAATGGAGACGGTCGTCACGCCGGCGCCGTCGGCCGAGAGGACACCGCCGCAGGAGCCTCGAGTGCCTGAGATCGGCGAGGCTACGACGCCCAGTCAACTCCTCAATCCGGATACCAAGAGGAAGAGATGCGCGATAGAGCCGACTACTCCTGTACTACCTTCTGCCGCGAGGAAACAGTCCACTATCACTGGTGAGTCTTGCACTGGGAGTCTTTCGTCCAGCCGCGGAAAGAATGATTTTACTTTTCAAGTTATGTACAATGGTAGATGTATAGATTCGAAAATAATGTGTGATACAACTAAAAGTTTGAAAATTCTAGAAGCAACTTGAGTGTATACATAATTATTTTCTAAAAAATTATTTTCAGATCTGTATCTAGCTAAATTTTTAGATACTTTAGCAAAAACTATTCTTTCCGTATAATCTTTATATTATACATATAAATTCCAAATTTTCCTTTAGATACTAATTCCTTATAAATAAGGAATAAATCCTTTAGATACGTTTTCACTGATTACTTTAATTAATTTTACCGTTGATTACAACCATTGATTAGTGAAGAATTCAATAAATCATAATGCTGATGTGATTTCTTGTAAGAAAAATTGGAAAATTTATACAGAAGGGATAATTTTGCTAAAATATCTAAAATTAAGATAGATACCGATATGAAAATAATATTTGATTGGACCATCAAAGTAAATTATTTTCAGATCCGTGTCAAATTAAATTTTTAGATATTTCTGCAAAATCATTCTTTCCGCCGCATTCTACGCCGCTAAATAAGCTGAATAATCGGAATAACGCACAATAGAATCGTTGTTTCTAGTACTTTCTAATGATTTCAGCGATGGTATATGTTTTCATTCAATTTTCAACAAATTTTACGTTATATATACACAGTTCCACTTGACACCTTGATTTCACTGTTGTGTGGAGCTTTTGTGAGGGACAAAAAAAAAGATTTAGATAACACACAAAATAGTTAATAAAAATTGTAAAACTCAAAGCGTACGTTCGCCTTTGAATCTCCGTCGGTTAGGTGTATATATGACGATATGAATGCAATCGGGTGATGTTTGTTTTTGAAATTGTTTGGCCCGCACACGCGCCGTGTACAAAATTAACGCTATCGTTATCAGCGACGACATTCGCTTGATCAGCGGTTACAGATTATCCCGATGAAATCACGCGAGTTGCAATTTACAACGAAACTCGGCATGTTTTGCTCGATTGCCCGGCGTATCTCCGTTTTTCGCACCTCTAATCTGCTCGTAACTCATCGTGCATAAGTATTTTTCGCATATCTTTCAAAACAGAAGCTTCAGCTGCTTCGAGTATAATGAAGTTCGTTTGTACTTACATTGTACGATACACAATGAACGCAAGACAATCGAGAGGGTAATGATTATTACTTTCACGTTGGTCCTTGCCAAATATCAGCGTTAATTATCAGCTTGCTTAGGTCGATCATTTGCTCAATGCTTTTGTATGTTAAAGGGATTAATTCTATGATTTAGGAACATTCATGGATTATTTTAGAAATAGTTAGACGTGAATTTTTTTCTTAAAACACATTAACAGGGACAGTAGAATAAGGATATGAGGAGAGAAATTTTCTCAATTGTGTTTATTTCTATCGGTGTAGATTAATTTTAATCTCTGTTTAATTAATTTTTTTTTTTGTCATTCCAATATCCATATCTATCAATGTAAGAATAACTTTAATCTCAGTTTAATTTACTTTTTATCTGTTTTAATTATTAGAATTAAAAAAGGATAAAAAATTAGTTAATTAAGATTAAAGCTATAATCTATATTGGTAGAAAACATTGAAATTATATATATATGTTTCTGCTAATATAATTTAATTTTAATTTTTCTCGATTCGACTGACTTTTCATCTTCTTATTCTAGATATTAGAAAAAGACGAAGAGTACGCTGAATCAATAATTAAAGTTCATTTATAGGTAGAAATTGACATTAAAAAACTCACGAGAAAGTTAGACTAAAGATTAATCTACATCAGTAGAAATTTATTTTATAGTTAGAAATTTCTGAAAAGCAGATTTTAATCTCTGTGAAAAGATGTGAATCATTGCATATTTGCGTAGAGTTATAATGTATGTATGAATCATGAAAATAATTTTGCACAAAATAACTGGTTCCTGACCAGAATTTATCATGGCTAATTTGCTCGATGCATTTATGCAGGAAGCGTATTGCCTAGGTCAATCCAATTCATTCGTTGGAAGGTCGTCGTAATTCGTCAGCGCCTGATAATAACAAATTGTGTTTGCATTTCGTTATTCGTAAATTATTATTTCGAAATATTATCAACTTTATTTTTTGTTGGACACTCGTATGCGGATAAAAGAATATACATATATATTTCAGCCGGCAAAATCAAATTTATGGTAAAATAAAAATTTTAATCAACTTTTGTGTGTGTTTGGAAATACTTTTTACTTATTTCACAATATTCTATATTCATGGAAAAAACGATTTTGCTGGAATTTTTTTTAAATTTAATTAGATACAGAATCGGAAAATAATTTTATTAAATTATCAAAATGATCGCGCTCAAGCAAAATAGGCAATGATGCAAAAAGTTTTAACATTTCAGAGCAATCAATTTGTGAGTCTTACATAATTATTTTAATAGTCTAACAAAATTATTTTCACACACACACGGATTTGTATCGATCTAAATTTTTGAATACTTTAGTAAAACCGTTCTTTCCGTTTAATACATCGTATCTCATAACAATGAACAAAACGACGCAAAATATTCATTTGAACTAGTTTTCACGTTTTCTTATCACTATTCTTTAATATTTACTAATAGTCTACATAACCTTCAACGTTTTGTATGTAGAGTGCACGATCATTTTTTCCTGTTTTCTGTGTCAATAAAACCGAATTCTGCAAACGAAACGCAACATGTATGCATTATCGGAACTATATATCGCGTGCCGCGATAACGTTGAAGAGAGGCTTTGATAGTATAAAAACTTTTTTATTCACGGTTAAGCGGAATCACGCTCGAACGTCTACATCGCGAGCGATGACACAATCAATAATATTGCATTAGATGTTTATGTCAACAGTAAATTGCGCAAAATTTGATTTTGGAATAACACTACAAAATAAGGCAGAATAGGCGTAATAAATTTGTGTCGTGTGTCAAATCTTTTCATTAGAAATTTTAAGATAAATTCGTTTTGTGTGGAATTGGCACTCTAAGTGTTTATTTCTTTTATTTAATTCGCCAGAACTATTTTTAATTTTCGGAAGAACCTCTAAAACTCTTCGGGATGTACTCAGAATTATATAATAAAAAATTTATTTAAGTGATTATTTGAGATACTAACTTTACAAAAAAAATAAATTATTAGATGAACTATAAGAAAAACTAAACCGATATGTAGAATTTTAAGTAGAGGAACGCCAAACAATTAGTGTCTAATAATATTATAAAGTTTGATAAATCTGTCTCATGTTATTTTGAAAGTAAATATTTCACACTATTCGGGAGAAGCGCCGAAAATACACTTGCAATAATATTTCCAAGAAGATCTACTCAAAATGGAAGGAACGTATCGTTAATCATAATTGCATACATGATTCATCTATACATATCATGTTATCATTTTCGCACCAAAATATTGTTTTTTGACGTTACATTATATATATATGTTTACGCGAGCGATGTGTATCATTATATGCAGTGCTAATTTTGAACTTAATCGCCGTCCTTTGGAAATTTTTTTGATAACGATTAATCGATTGTACGAAGATCATTATTGAGAGATTGAGTCAATACATAATTGAATGACATAATGATCGAGAGATATGCATCTAATGATGAGAGATTTGCAACTTCTTAAAAAAAAAAAGTAAAAATGGAATTATTATATTTGTTTCATGTCTGTTTCTACGATATAGATTATAATTTTTACCTTGGTTTAATTTACTTTATCATTTTCTACATAGTTCTATGAATTAAGGAAGGATAAAAAGTAAAACCGGGAAAATAAAGTTGATCTATATTGATAGAAATGGACATTAATTAATTATCAACATTAGATTGATAAATTAGTATAATAAATTGTAATCATACAAATATTGAATTTGGACGTAAAAGAAATAGTAAGACGTTCCCTCGCCATAAAAATTTATTTCTACGTGATTTCGAATATTTGGACGAAATTTCAATTTCTTTACATCATCGTGTTTGTTGCCACACAGGCATCTTGTCGAAGTAGTAAAAACTTAACCAATCTAGTTCTGCTTCTTTTTTCTTCCATTTATTATTCGGCCATGCACACCACCCACGCGACGCAACTATTTTTGGACATGACTCGTCATGTGTCACGCACGCGTGTACACACGTGTAAACACATTTCACGTTGCGCCAGCACGCGACGCCTTTGTTTATATTTTTACTACACTCGCGTGAAAAAGCGAAACTACGCCTTACTGCAAGTCAGCGGAGAGACATTCGTCGTCTACCGTTACATTCGTGACGCATCAACGTTTCTTTTTTTTTTTAATCTTATTTTATCTTTGTCTTACTTTCTCGAATAAAAAGATTAAATATTAATCCAAAGTGTGTTCGAAAAAATTCGATATTAATTCGAGATCAATATTGATTAATTAATCGTTGATGACTCATGAAAACTTCGGTATTGAAACGGTCATTTTTCTTAGTTCGTCTTTTGCTATCTGAAAGGAAGTGCGCAACTTCCGGGGCATCGTGTACGCACGTGTAGACTAGAAGGATGAGAACCGATTGGGTTTCCTATCTGCGCCACTTAATTCATTCGAGGAAGTAACGCGTTCGTAACGTATTTTGCTTTACGAATACAGCCATGGGGGCGCCGAACGATATTTCCAACGTACTTTATTAATGAGCCGCGCGGTCAGCTGTTGAAATCCATATGGGGTTGCTGGCCTCGAGTGCACCCCCATGTCCTTTCTCCCATCTCCCTTTCCGACCCCCACTAGCGTACTAGCTCCCTTTTCGAGCCCTTTGTATTCCGCGTGACGCGTGTACGTCGAGTGTTTGCACGCGTGGGGGGCATCAGCTGTGCACGCAATCGCGTGCCCCTGTCTCTACGAACCCCAGGGGCGGCAGACGGATCGTTGCAAAAGGGTCGGCATTTAAAATCAGGATAGCGCCCGCATATCTCGTCCCAGATATTTAAAGCATCGCGCAGAAAAATAATTGCGAAATCCTCTTTCGGAATTGTTTCGCATTCTTATTATGACAACTTTTGAATCTTGATTTTTATTGTAATGGACATTCTTAAGTTTGCTCGATAATTAGAAAAAATTTATACATATCAGAATTGTGAGACAGAGATTGGCAATGTTTAGATTATAATATATTACAATAAAATATATCCATGAAGTATTTAAAATAATAAATAAAAGAATTTTTAATAAGGATTTTAAATAAGGGAAGTGTTAGAAGAACGAAACATAGATACTCGTGCAATTTTAAGAATTTTCATCACGTAGCTCGACAAACGACAAAAGTATGGGAAGGTTGACTAGAGAATTGGACAGATGCACCTATTTTCATCGCGTGGAAACTTTGCCAAATGGTACTCTAAAGGGGTGCCTTTGTATCTTTGGGGTGTATCCGTTTATGAGTCACGTCCAGTCGGTCCAATAAGCTTCTTTTTGAAGCTCTTTCATATTTTCAGGATCATATTTTTGTTTGAAATTCGTTAAATATAGTGACTTATATGAATTTTTATGTACTATTTATTATATGTAGAAAATAGAATTTTTTAAATATATTTTAAAAATTCAAATATTGTGTCTACTCTACATATTTTTCGAGCACTCGATCGTTTTTCCATTTCTTAAATATTTTTAATCGCGCAAAATTTCGTCACGAGCCCAATATGATATTCGTTTTGTGGTAACGAAAATATTTGTCTGAAAATTGCAACTGCGTTCAAACGTGCAATAAACATAATAAAATCCTGACCTCGCGCTCTTATCTCGCGATATAATTAGCGAGTACGGTACGACATAATATTTCGAAGGTTATCGGAGGAAAGATTTTGCTTGCATACATGCAGTCGGGAATAAGCCGGATTGTGCATAAGGTTAAGTGGCATTGCATGCGATTATAAGAAATCGAAGCTGAAGATAAGCTGCGAATTGCTTACGCTGTCCGTCCGCCAGATGCGTTCCGAGATATTTTGACTTACTCCAGATGCAATATATGTTAATAAATAAATACAATTAACAAATATAGATAAATTAAAAGAACCACACACACACACACACACATATATATATAAATATAATATATATATATATATATATAATAAATAATATTCCTTTCTATAAAATTCTCTCAACTCTTACATACATATGATACATTCCAATTTTCTTTTACTTTATGTGCATGTTAATTTTTTTTATTAATTCTCCAGTTAATAAAAAGCAATTTGGCTCTTTCTCGTCCAATCCAAGTTTTTACTATTTTAGGTTTTTTAAAAAAATGTGGAAAAATTTAATATTATTTGCCAACATTTCTATTATCGAATAATATTTAACTTAAATTTAAAATTTTTGTTCATTAGAAAATGAGATAGAAATTTGTGTGCTTCGCTTATGCCAAAAAAAGATTTAGATTGTAAAGGAAGATTAATAAAGATACATATAATTGCTTGTTATCATTATACTTCTTAATATTTGGTGTTTCGATTGAAAAAATTTGTTATAATATGTTCAATATCTAAAAATAGTTAAAGTGTCTAAAAATTTAATTATATACAGATTTAAAAATAATTTATTTTCAGATGTATGTAGCTAAATTTTTACTGATTGATAGAATTAAAACTTTTTGCATCATTATCATTAACATAATTATTTTGATAGTTCAACATTATTGTTTTTAAATCTGTATATAAATAAATTTTTTGATACTTCAACGAAATTATTCTTTCCAAAACGCGATGCTTCACTGTACTCTTTGGTGAGTCGACTTGAAATTAGAAATTAAAATATTATTCGAAACGACAGTATACAGTATAGTTAGATTCTAATCTTCTTCAATGAACCTGTCACCTCGATTATGTAAAGATATGTTTTCTTTGTTGTCTGTTTCAGACTATATGAAGAGTCGTAAGCGCAGCCTGAACGGTACCACAAAGAGCATGATAGAGCCGCCGGAGAAGATCGCTCGCAACGCGGGTCAGATACGCAGCTAAAAATCCTTCAGCTTTCTTATTCGAATAGTCGCCTTTTTCCACCTCGTTTGTACACAACGGGAGACAGTAAGAAACGGAAGTGAGAAACTGCATTACCGTGTGGAATAACGGGGAAAGAAGAGGGTAGAGACTCTGACAGGAGGCGCGAGGTCCGCGTTGGCTGTGCCATTCATATAGTTTTATCCGCCATGAGCGCAGACGAAATAAATGAATAAAAAGAAAAAAAATAAGAAAAAATAAAAAACGGGAGTAACGCCGTTTTCCATCACGTATATCTTCGTCTGTCATATCGCTTTGTAATACCGCAAGGATTATGAGAATAGTAACAGCGATTAAGAAAGGACGTGAGACGAGGGAAAGCATAAGATAGAGAGTCACATATGAAGGTTGCTTGATGGGGAAAGAGAGAGAGAGGAAAAGAGAAACTCGTGACTCTCGTCGCTATTTTTTATAATATGTGTCACATCATTTTCTGTATTAGAATATAGAATAAGTAATACTAAGGAAAATATAAAAATTAGATTGTAGATAAAGAGTAATATGATTTGTGTCCAAATTAATTAATGTAATATATTCATTGTTTGTTTCTGAAACGTTCGTAGAAAAATGTTTAAACGATGTCGTTACACAAACACGTTATGGAAAAAAAGAGAGAGAAGCTAAGAAATACATGCAAGTTTATATATAGGTTATTTTCATAGGGATTAGAGCTGATTAGATTCTAAGATATAAAACAGAGTATATCGCGCGTATTCATTGGATCTAATGGAAGGGGATGTTTGAGCTCGTCCATGGAAATTCAGTACTCGTGATTGCCCAGTGATGAAATTTTAAAATTGTATAAAAACTATTTAAAAACAGTTCTGTGACAGATATCGCGCCAATTTCGATGCTGTGTCCTTGAAATGCGTGCGATATTGAGAATTGACTTCAAATTTCTATAATAAGTTTCACGAGTTTTTGTTTGAAATTGTCAAACACGAATCGGTTTTATATATATATATTTCCGTGATCAGAATGCGACCAGCTTTAAGGAAGAAGAGAAATATATAATTTAGCTGTAATTTGTTACCCAAGTTTAAGCATTGATCTCCTGTACGATTTTAAGAAAGTACAGCCGATGCCAAATCATCCCGTGATTTTTTCTTCTCTACCTATTAAATACAGAAAAAACAGAAGATTTGTCATCTCCTTTTTCCTTTTTCCCTTCCCTTTTTCCCTCCCATATCACATTCGTTTCCGGCAGATAATGCGAGAGACACGTAATCCTCATAAAGTTTTTACGGAAAAAACATGGTTTGATTTCCTCTTTTATATCATCATTTTCATTTCTTTTTTTATATTGCGAATTAAAATATCAAGTTTTTTTTTAATATTTTTATGACTTTCGGTTAAAAATTGGATTTCTCAATTTTACCGCGATATTCTCTTAGATATTCATTTATAGACAATGCTTTTCAACCTCAATGCTTTAAATTTCCACATTTCAATTTATTTAGACAATGTAACAGCTTACATTTACATAAAAATTTAATTTAATCTAATCTTAAAAAACATCAATGATTTTGATATATCTCCGTTATGTTAAAAATTCATCAACGGCATTAACTCTTTTTTTAGTCATGTATATATATATATATATATATATATATATATAATTTCAAAAGAAATAAAATTATATGTAAGAAATTTCAAGTATTTAACAAGAAATCAATATAGTTCGCAATACTTTATTTTTGTAATTGGTACGAAGAGATGCATTTTCTTTGACAAGCATCATCGAGATCGACAATTAAACATTTCAAAATGTAAAAAAATTCCAGTGCAAATAGTAAAAAGAGCGTTTATTTTGTTTGTTGACAACGAATTTGAAGCATAAAATATTAGAGCGTACTATCTAATTGTATATTAATTGAGTTTTATAATGGTAGCTGTTTATCATACACGACTTTTTGTTTGTTAACACCCCATTAACGCGATCCTCGTTAAATGTCCTATCGTATCTTGCTCCTCCTGATACTTCTTTTTCCTGCTCTCCATTTCCTTTTTGAGATTATAATCCAAAAATACGACTGGTGGTTACAAGCTATTTTTTCAAAGCCCGCTCGTAATAATGAGCGTGTGGGAGAGAAGCGACGAAAAGTGTAACAGATAAATCAAATTTAAACGTACGCATTGATTACAATATTTCGTTTTCTTCCGCGCGGAATAAAAAGTCCAGAGTTTTATAAAAATTTACAAAATAGTAGTCGGATTGAAAAATAATTATCATTAATTATGTTCGTGAAAGATTCGGCACCTCGCGATCTTGGTATTAGTACAACAAATCATTAAAAACAAAAAGCAAGTTAATTTAATCTGACGATGTCACTATGGACGCACTCGGAGAAGAACAGTGATAGCAACGATAGCAATTATGTAAGTGACAACTATAGAAATTTTGTATTATGTAGAATTAATACACACATACATACACACACACACACACACACACATACACATACATACTGAATAAACTATTTTATTTAGTTGCAATAATTGTACATTAATTTTACATATAGAACTTGTATAGTTGCCACCGATATAAGAGTTGCCTCTTTTTCTCTGATTGTGTAAGATTGTGTAACATTTTTCTAATAGGTTTTTATTCGAAAACGTGGCAGGATCATGATAATATTTTCGAGCTTAGTGAAAAAATTATTTTTCATCTAATGATATATTGCAAAATTAAAGCTTAGTGATTGAGGGTTCTCTACAGTATACGGTGTCACCGTTGGATTAAAAAAAAAGAAACAGGACTTAAGAATCTTGGAATCTCATAAGATCTGAGAAAGTCGCGACGTGTGGTGCCTGTCGTGGAGAAAACTCAAAAAAAATAGCAAAGAGAGAAAAATCTAATGTTTATGTAACCCTGTGATGTATTAGTATGATCTCAGTAAACATAACTTAGCGTGTACTTCTTATCTATAATAATTAGATTATGTATGTATATGCGATAGCGAGAAATTGTGACAGACATTTGAAAAGTGTCTCCCGTAATAGAGTATAAAAATTAGAAATCACGGATCAAGTCGACAATTCCCGATATTTGTGTGTGCGTGTGCGTGAGTATGATATATGCATGAGAGTACGTCCTGCAGAATGAAAGATGAAAGAAAAAGATAGAACAGGAGGCCACCTGTGAATCATGCCTCACTTTCAGTCGATACTCCACGACTAAAATTATATATGTGTAACGACAATATTATATAATGTATAATTATATATAAAAAAAACTGTAACTATAAGAGAGTCTAAAAAACTAACTAATTAACATAAGTGAATTGTGACCCAATTGTTTATTAAAAAAAGATCTATCTATATAAAAAAATTATCATTTTTTTCTTTCTCAATTATCATATCCTTACATTATATATATATATATATCTTTATGAAAATTATTTTATAGTAAAAGTAAAGTTACTATCCTAATTAAAACGTTTCAGAACATAAAAAGAATTTTATATGCTCTACTGAAGATTTTGCTAATTTTGAGTTGTGTGAAATGTAATCTTTTTTTTAAGAGTATGATTAAAATATTCGACAAATGTCAGTCTCATACATATATGGTCGCTTTGATAGAAAAGTGATACAATTAAAAAGTTGGTATTTTTGAGATAATAATAGGAAACTTATCCTCTAAAACATAAATGCATTTTTTGTTGAAAGAATGATACATTTGTTAATAAATTGCTTATGGAAAAGTTACAACTTTGATAAGAATGAAATTTATACAACCCTATATTAGGATTGCAGTGTTTGCAATATTGAAAAGTTACTAATTATGTCGCTTTTCTATGAATGCAACAATATGTTAGTGTACATTATATCATCACAAATTAATATGGCTATAATGTGTAAACTACATTCATTTCACTTTCTTTATAACAATATTTCAAGAACAAAAAACAAAAAACAATTTATCTCATTTCACAGCGAAAAAATCTGGATAATACTATACGTTCCTTCTTCTTTACCACAATGCGGTACAAAAACCTTGCAGAATCCAGCGATTAAGGAAAACGTGGCAGGTGCAATTGGAGGTATCTAAAGGACTTGTTCCCGGCAATCCCGGACAGGTGGCCGGAAAGCTTTGCTGGTAAGTGATTTCGTTTCACCTTTACGTCCCTTAGTTTCTGCCCAGACGCCAATTTTGTGGTTGTAACGGTCGAATTCGTCTGACATGACGCGCGTGGAGAATCTGGCTGACAATGTCAATATATAATATCAAGAAGTCGACCATGAAAAATTACGCATTGTGCATTACATAGAACGATACAGATTATTGATTATTTTCCATAAAAATGTAATAATAATAAGCGCACAAGCGGATATGTCAAACACTTCCGTTAAAAATACATCATCTGTTTTCAATTCTAAAAGTTTATTATTAATTGGTTAAAATGGTTAATTTATTTAACTGCTTTATTATTGGGATTACATTTTACTTAAAAAAATGCAGTATCTTTGAAGTCGATGCATATCTCATAATTATAATTTTTCGTATTTAAGGATATATCAGATGTATAAATTTACACAAAAAAATGACTGAAGTTGGAAATTTATATTTTTTGTAAAAATGAATTAAGTATATACATATAACGAAACAGTTCAATTAAAGTCAATATTTATATTTAACAACTATTTTATAGTTTAAATAAAAATTTTCTCATTTTATCTTAATTATTTTTGAAAAACATCTACATACCATCAAACTTTATATTATTTTCAAATATAATTTAAAAAATGTAATTTTTTCCATAATTTTAACATCTATTAAAAAATACATGTAATATAATATCTTTAAGATAAGTATATTTACATGTTTCTTGAATTTTTTATATATTTCATACACATTACAAAATATTTTAATACAACTATTTCGAACCAATAAAAACTACCGCTTGCATCAATTACGATTTATATTACAGTTGCGTCGTGAATATAATTAGCGGGTTCGAAGATGTCGTTGCGAATGTTGCGATATCGTTTGCGGATGCTATTCATCGATGACCGAACGACAATACGTGCGTTATAAAGTGCAAGCTAAGTTGCATCTCGCGTCGCCAAATTTGCAAGTAAATTAATGCAAACTGACTGCTGTCGTTGATGTAAAAAATCTCGACACATTGCATATGAAATATCCATGATCCCAAAGCGCGCGATCCTAATTGGATGATCCATTTGCATATCAATCGATAAGTTTTGCAATCTTTCTGAAATTTATTATATTATTCGATCGAAATTTTGGCTACATGCAACGCGGCGTTATACATATTACGCAAAATTATATTATGTAATATTACAATAATATATATATTACAGATCGACAATAACAATTGATTGATTTTTACAGAAACTCGACACTAGTTTCGATTAATTTGAA